AATCCTTTTTTTTTCACCTACATCCACCTCATTAAAAACTGGCCAATGGGAGCTGCAAGAGCAGTGCTCGCAGGTGCATGCAGCAGGCAGAGATCCACTACGCCCCTCCCTTCAAGGGATGTATGCCATGAAGAGACACATACACTGGTCCCAGCAGCTAGTCACATTGAGCAACATGTGCAGCTGTGGTGGGCTGGATTCACATGTGGGGCAGGCCGGATCAAGCCAGCAGATCGTATTTTGCCTGCCACTGGCCTAGGTATTACATTTATTTATTTATTTATTTATTTATTATCTTTCCCATGCATGGTATTGTTGGCAATAATGCAAAGTAAGCAGAATGCTGGTACTAATCGCTGTTGAGTTCCAGTTGTCTGATTATAGATCTGTTGACCTTGTGACCAGAAGTTAATACATTTGTCAGTCCCACGTGCAGTAGAAGCATGGGACTATGTCAAAGGATTCCTAGGCCACTGTGAAAGCAGTTCTAGCCAGACTCTTTATAATAGGTGAGCAGGACAGGTGGTGTAACATATATTTTGTACGTAGTAATTTAAATTGCTGCCCAATGGAATTGAAGTACATGGGATAGAAACTGCATGTACTGTGAGTCATGCTCCAGACCACCTCTTGGATTTCAGTTCCTTAATCTTTGTTTCAAGCTGAACTTTACACCAAGTGTGAATTGCAGGATCAGCTAGAATGTGGAGATGAATTGTTTGGGTATATTGGTGAGCCTGGTATTTCTCTTGATGCCTGCTGGTTTTCAGGGCAAGAGTGGACCTGGAGAGCCGTTTACAAAGTCCTTGAGCTGAAGATATATGAACAAAGACATTTGTGTTTAAATTGATGAAATGAGAGGGGAAGGTAGTGATGTAGAAAGCAGTCTAGCGGGGGCTGCCCTGGCCCCGCTGCGGCAGTGGTGACAGGGGCTCTTCCAGCCCCTGCAGGCTGGGGGCTGCTCTGGCCGACCGTGGCCAGGGTTCTGCCAGCCCAGCCACCTGGGGCAGGCGGTGGAGGGGCTGCTCCTACTAGTCAGCCTTCCAGTTAAGCAGTTACTTGGTAAACTTGCCAGTTAGGCTAATACTTACCAGCTAACCAGTTAACCATTTAACTTTTTATATCCCTAATATATACCAACCTTTTTTGATCCCAGAGAGACACTGACTCACCCCAGACTCCTTGAAGAGATCATTGAATGGTGGCAGAGATATGCTGGGTAATTTTTGAATTTTAATAATAAGTGATTGGCAAATTAAAACGTTGTGTCAGAGGGCCTACTTCAGTCCTTATATGTGAGGATCGGAGCAAATAGTTATTGCCAGGAGCTCAGTGGCCGCTATGTGCAAGAGAGGGATGGTGGGCTGACCCTGTCTAGTTCCTCATTGGAGATACTGAATGCTGTGTGTGTTGTAGCTGTGGCAGGGGGTGGTGGTAGAATAGGAAAGGGAACTGGGTTTTGAAATCAAGTTACTGAATGTTTGAAATCAACTTTATGCCTTTATCCTTTATCCCAGAGGACTTTGTGCCTACGAGGCAGGTGAAGGGTTTCTTAAATCTGGCAATGTCTCATTGAGGCCCATTGGTTCTTTCCAGGTCTCCTTCAGCAGGGTTGTTACCTTGTGGGAACCAGAATCTTAATTGCCTGAGCTGGTGCGGGTATAAAATCGGAAGCAGGCAGCACTGGCCAGTGATAGCACAAGAGAATGGGAGTCAGGAGAGCTGAGACTTCTCTGTGACGTCTTGTGTGACA